AAATGTGATCTTACATATGTACACACAAAAATGTCAAATCTTAGCTTGCATACCGGTGGATAGATAAAATAACTGAGGTATATTGAGAGGTTCTATTTCAGGACATGAACTTGACAACTTGCAGTCTTTCTTATCGTTTCTCATATTACAGATCAAATATAAATAACAAACACTAACATTTAAACTTTATTATATTTCTAAAATTAACGGAAAATGGCAAAATACCCAACTGAGTTTGAGTGAGGTGAGTACAATTTATTTGGTTACTCTAAGGAAAAATTAGGATACCCAGTTGAGATGAACACAGGCAAGTACATAACTCAATGACCCAAGAAGTTATCTGTAGGTCTGTATGTTGTGAGGTATTGGGAGCTAAAGTGTTTGACAGTGAGTCTGCAGCTTTTAACATAATCACAAAACTTCATATATATGTGTAGTAAATTGTACCCAACATGGCATTTTTCATAACACATTGAAATACCTATGGTGATGTGCTATACTGAAAATACATTGCATAATGGTGAAATGTTTATATAAATGTAGGTAGGATCCATTTTGTCTACTGGTACGTAAGTCCCAAAACTTCAAAGTTAAATTTAGACTTATCAGATTTTTAAAACATAGTATTTTTGTTATTTTGACTGTCAGCTAAATGTTCCTACAATCGCCAGTAGTTGAAGGGATGGTGTTAATCCAACTAGGGTCCATGCGAGTAGCAAAAGCACTGTAAGTCCCCATGGTCCCTAGTATGGTGATCTACCTTCAGTTGTTGGCGACTTATAGCTCGTTTTTATATTGTATTGTCTTCATAAATATAATTGTTTTACATGTACATGCTAATTTTAGACTCCATCTGTGATACTGTAGTTAGTTTACAGTCCTTTGATGACTGATTATTTAGCAACTTATATTTATTGTTTATGTAAGACATTTCTCGTCACTATATGGCTGAAATATTGCCGAGGTGATGTTAAATTTTAACTCGCTCGCTCACTCATTTTGTCTTCTAAGTCATTCTACTGCTGTTGTAATTTGTCGTGTGATTTATACAGGATGAAAATATGAATCAATACAGGTGTGAGTATATGGCAGAACATATTGTCTTACATGTTTTTAGTAATATTTAGGTGAATTGTGGGATGTTTAATATAGATTCCGTGTTGACTTGTTGCTGTGTGGAACTGTGTCATATGTTTTGGATCGCCAGCTTTATTCCTTATAATAGTCTAGATCACAAATACTGTAGGGATATGATGCTTGATTTGCCTGCCACCTTACTCACTGAGTTTAGGGGCAGTGGTGTAGCCTAGTGGTTAAAGCCGCTTCACTCGTCCTCGCCAAAAGGCCCAGGTTCAACTCCCACATGGGCATATTACTACGTGTGAAACCCATTTCTGGTGTCCCCTGTCATGATATTGCTAGAATATTGCATATATCGGCATATAACGCAACTCACTCACTCACTGAGTATGATCACCCGTTGAAATCAGTCTACAAAGTAAAGAATGCAAAGTTTGCTTCTACAACATTTCTACATGTGAACATCATTGTTCAAGCCTGGACCGCTTGACTTTCAATTTCAAACAGCGAGTTTGCAAATTTGTTTACCAAGGAAATGATAGTTTCCCTTTAAAGCCTGGACCACAAGGGCGATACTGTTGCTGGTGTAGGGTCAGTGGACAGAGTACACTGGCAGTTGTAGCTGGTCAATACACTCACTGTGGACAGGTGGTGACCAGGGACCTGCTGTTTACATGATTCTGTGTGGCTTTTCATCATGTGTCCACTACCTCCAGACAGTAACACTGGTTATATTTAGGATTGCACTGGACAGATGTTGGACAGAGACAGTCTTCTGGAGATCATTTCTGGTGTAATGGTCAGATGAGTGGTTCGGGTTTTGAAATGTGATTTTGTGTTTGGTATTGTTGTTCGATTGGATTCTGGTGGCCTGGGTGAATATTGACCCTTGGTGTCTTGGGTTTCAATGATTTAGTCTGAAATTGTTGCACTCGCTGCCTGAAGATTTGGACATTGTGTTTGGAATGAAAACCTGTTTTGTTATTGAAGATTTATTCTTGGGATTAGTTGCTTTTTCAGATGTAAGTTGTGGATTAGGAACAATATGTGAGTGGTGAGTTCAGTGGATAATGATTCTTGGTTTACGGAAACCTGAAGCGAAATGATTTATTTTTGCACATGTAACCATGGTAACTTCCAATATTCTTGATCAGAGGAATATTTATCTTGGATGTTCAATCTATATGGAACTAGCAATTATCAGATGACAGTGACGTGAAGTTTGTCTAATAACCTGATATTTGTTGTGGATTGTTTGCCTTTGAATCGGGAACACCGAGCATAGAAAGATCTTTTACTAGGGAATTTTTTGCTGTGTGATATGTGTTCTTCCAAGTGTCTATTTTCAGAGATTTTGTATATTATATATTTTAAATTGCAATGGTAGGGTCTCAAGAAATATGCAGGCACTGGATTTATTGATTAGCTAGCTGTTGTGTTCTGAGTATCTTCACTTGAAACTTGATATAATTATACCATTTGAGATTCAAGGAACAAACTGCGATATCCAATCGATATTTCAGGACTTGTTTTATACATCCTAACAGCCAGTATGGATTTGTTCTTGTCCGTCAGTACAGTTCTTGAATTGAGCAGATTTGAGCTGTTCTGGCCTGGAGCAGCTTTGAGCTAAGCACTACCACCACAGTTCTGGTATTGAGTTTTAAACACCAGTTGCATATCTGGCATCAGAGTATTGAACCTGTCCATAATCACCCATGTCAGCTTCAGGCATATGTTTTATGTGAACTTTAGACATGACAAGATAATTCTCAGTCAGTGTGGAAACTAGCTGTTGATAATAAACAGATTCAGTAGCAATGGTTATCGGGGAAACTTGTTCATCAGTTGTCGTAGCTCAAGTGTTCCTTCACTGAACCAAGACCAGGCTCTCTTGCATGGCGTGATATTGGATACTGTTAGATAGTGTTGCGGTTGTTTTCAATTGCTTGAAGGCCATGTTCCATCTGGATATGGTGCTTGCTGTGACATTTCCTCTGCTTGCCTGTCTCATTCTGTTTTTGCTTCGTTTATTACTAGTAAATACTCTAAACCATCAGGTCCATAGAAATAGGTATGCATGGTTCAGATTTAGTGGTAGAACTGATGAGAAATGAGCAAACTAGTTTGTTGACAAGTTGTTGACAGGGATTTTAGAAATATCAATGTAATTATCAAATTTGTGGTAACAGGTTTTAGATATGGAAAATCTTGGACCATTCTGTGGAATTTTGTTAAAAAGATTTCAGTTGCTCTGTTGAGGAACAAGTTCTCTGTTCGGTCTCAGGTCTCTACCGTCATTTCTAGCTGAACAAATCGCAGTGTATGCTCCAGCTAGGTACATCTGTTACCTTGTTTAAAGGCTCCACCTATTATTTTGTTCATCCCGCCTTTCCTGTTCAGTGTTTGTATGAAAGGCAAACATGCATGTTGAGAGGTTCCTTTGAGATCCGGTTTCAGTGTTGTGTTTTACAGAGGACTGTTGTGAATTAAACTGGTCTCCATGACACTGCAGCTGTATATATGAAGGTGATGATGTGTTGGTTTCAGTGGGTGATGTTTCAATATAGTTTACATGAATCCGGATGTATTGGGGTGTGTTTCATTTCCAGTATAATGAAAGATTAAAGATATGGAACTAAGGTCCTGAGTTGCTAATGAAGGTGTATTTCAAGTGTACAGTGCTTGGCGTTAAACTGCTTGCTTTAGGTGTATGGTCATGAGGTTTTTATAGAAGACATATCTTTCAAAGTCAGTGGTAATTTAAGAGTTCTGGATGTATTGGGGTGTGTTTCATTTCCAGTATAATGAAAGATTGAAGATATGGAACTAAGGTCCTGAGTTGTTAAAGAAGGTGTATTTCAAGTGTACAGTGCTTGGCGTTAAACTGCTTGCTTTAGGTGTATGGTCATGAGGTTTTTATAGAAGACATATCTTGCAAAGTCAGTGGTAATTTAAGAGTTCATTTTGCAAAATTAACAAGGAATGGTTATGGAAAGTTATGTTATGGTTCATGAATTCATGTTTCAAGGTGATGTAGCATTTTCAAGACATGTTATACAGGGACCACGACCACATTTTCAGCTGTAGTTTACATTGATGAAACTCGATGTGCCCTTATTTGAGGCAGAAATATTTTCTGAAGTATATTGAATATATATATGAGGCTGTGTTGAATAAGCCATGCCCTTGACACTGGGTCGGATAAGAATTTTCAGCTGTAATTTTCGTCAATGAAACACTTTGTGCCCTTATTTGAAGCAGAGATATTCTCTGACGTAAATTGAATATATATGAGGCTGTGTTGAATAAGCCATGCCCTGGACGCTGGGTCGGATCAGGCCCAACCTGAAGCTGTGCTGTTGTGTCCAGACAGACAGGTAGAAGTATTCCCCTGTTTGTTCTTGCCATTCGATGGAGACGTTGCAAATATTTGTGACAATCTCCTCCACTTGTCGCTGTTTACTAGTTGCTGGAAAGAATAATTGAGGCTTGTGTATTGTGTAGGTTTGTATGTAGTTCAAGGCAAACCTTTTCTGTGAACTTTAAATACCGTACATACACGTGAATTGCAGTAGTTTTGTTTTACCGATGTCTTTGAAGTTTGTGTGTACATATCTGTATTTTCACTCTATGATTCATGAGTAATATATGCCTTGTTTAATTAATGCTTTTTTGTCCCAAATGTTTGAGATGTGTTTAGGACGTTTGCTTGTTGACACGTTTCCAAACAAAGGTGTTTTCTTCATCTATTGTCAAACATTCGGTTTCAATTTTTTAGTGGAGGAAGTATGAGAGATTAGTTGTGAATGTTGGAAGTTAAGATTGATTGAAGGGTTAGCATAGTTAGCTCCTTGTTGTCATAATACAATGTTTATTTAACTATGTATTTATTGTTTTGTTGGGTTTTGTTTTTTCAGATGGTATTTTGGTAAAATCAAGCGAGTAGAAGCGGAGAAGAAGTTATTATCCCCAGAAAACGAACATGGGGCATATTTAATTCGTGACAGTGAAAGTAGAAGAAACGACTATTCATTATCAGGTAAGAATGTTTGACATTGTATTTGATAAAATAGAATCATTCCTGCTACAGATAGTTATATTATTTTTACATATAGACAACAAGTTGTATCCAGGTCAAACTCCTGATAATATAGTATCGTCTGTTGATATGTTTGAGTATCTCAGAACTGAGATACTCAACATGGCTGCTCGTCAGTGAGTCCAAGCCAGGGGAATGACAATAGTAAAACATTTGGAGTGTGGGCTGCACATGAATACATTGTACTTAACATTTTTCTCAATCCCAAATTTGAAAAATATACACGCCATTTGGCTTGGCATTATGGATAATACTTGAATACTAAGTTTCATCAATACTGTAGCAAAACAATTTGTAATGAGTTGTTTTGTTCCATAACCTGTCATTCAATCAAGTTCTGTCATCATCGAAGTATGTGGCCTTATCCATTGTATTGTGACATAGTGTGTGATTGGCATTCTGAAAGTTGGTGAGTCAATAATAAAGCACAATCAATAACAGCAACTTTTTATGAAAAAAAAATTGGTATGCTTTCAGTGTTCACAAATGGTGTTTCAAAGTAACAGGACATTGGGTCCTGTAGTTTCAGATGTCTGTCTGACCCATTGAAAATGCACATGACCCATAGAATAAAATTGAACACACATTTCAGATTTAATATTCCTTATAATTGGCATTGAAATTATTAACAAACATAAGATTTATAAACAGCAAACAGGTGGCACATGTCATATATATAACAAATTCAGTGAAAGTCATTGTCAAGTATACAGTCAGACAGTGGGGCCGGCAGGTTGTAGACTTCTATCGGACCGTTGGCGAATCTGCTGGATTTGTCAGAGGGTCAGACGCTATTCGTGAACACTGTGCTTTAGTATTTTGACTTCAGTGTATTCCTCATCACTTTGACTTTCCACCCAGATCAAGCAGATGCCGAGATGTAACTGGAATACATTCCAAATTGGATTGGTATTACATATTTGGTGACAAACACAGAGTTACTTCAGTGTCAAATTCCCAGTTGATGCATGTTGCCGTATCAAAATCAGATTTATAGCAGATCTGTGATTCCAAATGGAATCTGAGTCTGCTGTCCAGTCCTTTGATGTTGGTTACGGTGTGATATCCCACTAAACTATCATCCTCATGGATTGATGCCATTTGATAATGGAACATAAAAGTGTTTAGTTGTCGTACTAGTGGTTGAAATTCACCAAATAAATGCTCTGGATAAGTAGAGCATTTGGGATTAACATGCATTTTATGGAGATTGATAGTCTGTCTCCAGGAAACAGATTAAATTGAAAGAGAAGTCCCAACTCGTGTAGAATGATTTTGTGACTTTAGATTGCTGCGTCAGTGCTCAACTCTTGGCTGAAATTAGGACTTGTTAAGTAGGAATATAGTTTTAAATGCAATAAGTTTATTTCTGGGATAAATGTCAGCCAAATGGGTTTAAGTATAGTTGGATTTATCTCATTGTGGTGACCCTGGGCCAGATTTTGATTATGCTCTATTTGTGGACAAAAATGTGCTCCAATTACTAGACACAGATGAATATTTCATAACCATGCTAACAGCATACTAAATGTATTCATTGTACAGTACGATGCAAATATGTGGTTAGTTTATAGGAAAGTAGTCCCACCTCATATACATTAAACACATACACTAAGTGATGTGCTAGAGATGATGTTCCCATAGGTCTGTTCAGTGTTACAGTCTTGCAATATGGTGTCAATGTTTACCCTTCATGCAGACAGTGGTGTAGAAGTCAGTACTTAGCTGTAAACATGTCATCATACAAGACTGTTAGCTGTGTAGGAAACTGCTGGGATAGAAATAAACAGAGCTTCAATATAGCAACAAATAGGCTTACATTTGACAGCTGTCTGGCACAGTGGTAGTAACGTGTTTGTGGAGTATCTTACAGTTGGGTTTAAAACTGTATTTAGCAAGATTGTTTTAGAAACAGAGCTGTTTATTTCATTGAAATTGCATAGACTTTCTGTTAGTCAAGAAAGGGATAAAATGAAAATTTATCTAGAAAAGTCAAATCTTTTGTGATAGTATGAAAGTAACAACCATAATGAAAGAAAGTAACAACCTTCAAAATTCCAATTGTTGCACTAAAATCTTTGTTGTCTCTGTTATCATTGTTATTTGACAATCATGTTTCAATGAGGATGTTGTTTGTGTGGACTGGGTAAGTTAGAGAGCGACTACTTTAAACAGCATGTGTCTAATTGAAGTCAAGATTGGATACTGTAGGGGCAGTGGGGTAGCCTAGTGGTTAAAGCATTCGATCCTCTCGCCAAAGCCTGGGTTCGATTTCCTGCATGGAGACAATGTTTGAAACCCATTTCTGGTGTCCCCTGCCGTGATATTGCTGGAATATTGCTAAAATCGGAGTAAAACTAAACTCTCTCACTCATGCCAAATACCCGGGTTTGATTCCACAAATGGGTACAATGTGTGAAGCCCATTTCTGGTGTCCCCCGCCATGATATTGCTGGAATATTGCTAAAAGCAGCGTAAAACCATACTTACTCACTGTGACTTGGATATTTAATATGGACATAAACATGACATAAAACACAAGAAAACAGGAAGGATGTTGTGTTTAACACTTCTGATTTTTGCACAAATGTTTTTCTGATTTTGATGATGGATGATGGATAGTACTTAAATGACCAATTGTACACATTCACACTGTGGGCAGTTAGAGCAGCCAGAGCAGCCATCATGGGTACCAGCTGGAATATTCATGATATTCTGTGAAGGATCTGAGGGGTCATGTTAAAGCTAAGCTGTTACTGTGATAGAATTCCCTACTGCATGTAGATCTGATACCACTCAATGGAATGCTGCCTCCATTTTGTGTAGGATCTATGGCACTCAAAAACAAGAGGTTGTATAAAATATACACAGTAAACACCTACAATTAATCATTTACATCGAGAAGTGGCTGTTTAATTTCCTTTTACAGAAATCAGATGTCTTGCTGACATGATATAAGCTCATGGTCACAGGTTCAAATCCTAGATGGTTCTTATTTTGTAGGGGCGGTGGGGTAGCCTAGTGGTTAAAGTGGTTAAAGCGATTCCCCACATGGGCACAATGTGTTAAGCCTATTTCTGGTGTCCCACGTGATATTGCTGGAATATTGCTAAAAGCGGCGTAAAACTAAACTCAGTCAGTCAGTCAGTACTGCATGTAGATTGATACCAATCTCTATGGAATGCTGCCTCAATGTGTAGGATCTATGCCCATTTCTGGTGTCCCCAGTAAACACCTACAATTATATTTACATCGCTGGAATCATTGTCTTGCTGACATATATAAGCTCATGGTCACAGGTTCAAATCCTAAACTCACTCACTCTTATTTTGTAAACATGGGTACAAACCAGCGTTGTCTCCTGGGTTTATTGCTGGAATAATGAAAAGCTAACATCTAGTCTTATTTTGATAAATCAAACATATTTTGCAGGAGAAATCAACATATTCATGAATATTCATGAATAAACAGGATCCCAGACATTTTCTTCATTTGTAGGAACTGTGGTAATTTAGACTTGCCACATATCCTATACTTTCATTAGTAGGATTGGGTGATGTGTTTAGTAGTGGTGTCCCAATTAATTGAAATAATCGAAGATTGGTCGCAGTGACCAAACGACCAAGCAATCAATCACATTTTCTCATAATCGAACATAAACGATTTTGGAACTACTGTTTTAGTCTTTGAAATACTTGACAATGGAACATATCTTAGAAGTTGACAGGGCCTGAAAACATGTTTATTTCTTAGAAAACTCACTTCACTAACTGAAAAGTCATGACTGAATATTTCTCTAAGACTCCAGGAAGGTTATGTTCATGATATATTAGTCATCACTTTAATGTAGCACGTTGCAACATGTTATACTTTTCTGCAGTAATAACCTGGATAGGAAAATCTGAAAAATGACGCTAACCAATTTTTTTTTGATGATTGTTCGTTGGTAATGAAGCAATCATCAATTGTGAGATTTCAACCAATTCCAAACACTAGTGTTTAGGTCAAGCTGACACACCCACTTACTCTGCAGTGTGCCTATTCCTTTTGATGTCGTACAAGGAAGTGTGATCAACATCAACAGTGAGGGCAAGTTGTTTGAAGCCCAGACTCCTGACTTTATGTTGGTGATAAGGTTCAGGAAGACATATTAACATACTCGTGCCAGTAGTGAAGGGTCATGTGTGTATGTGTGGTGTCAAACAGCAACATATGCCAACAAGCGTCAGTTGGTCTGGGGATGTTGATAATGTGATTAACAGTTAAAGATCTTGTTTTATGCCTATATAACATGGATTTGATGTTTTAATGGAACTGGGAAATGGTGGAAAAAAGACTCACTAAAACAAGGGGTAGTGCAAGATGGAAGGTGATTGAAAAATCTAGACAAAACCACAATTGAACACGATTAGTGGGTTAGCCCATGCTTGTGCAATACATGTCAAGTAGCATTCAGTGTAGGTGAATAATGGTTCATTCCGGATGAAGTGGCATATGATTTTTTTCTATGTACATTTTATACTTTTATCTCCGTCCCTCAATGTTGATGCTGAGTATATTTGCAGAGGGAAATGCTTTGGATAAAACCTTTTGATTTAAGGTTTCGGTATGAGGTGGACTGGAGCATTTTCTAATGAAACAATTGCTAGTGATTCCATAGCATTTGATTGGCTAAATCAGCTATATGTATGTATGTTTCCATAAGCCTAAAAGGGCAGTGGGGTTGCCTAGTGGTTAAAGTGTTTGCTCATCATACCGAAGGCCTGGGTTTGATTCCCCACATGGATACAATGTGTGGAGGCCATTTTTGTTGTACCCTGCCGTGATATTGCAGGAATATTCCTAAAAGCGGCGTAGAACTATACTCACTCACTCACTCGCTCCCATAAGCCTTAAAGGAATAAACCATGCCTACATGCCAACTACTGTACTCTGATTGGCTGATCAAAGAGAAGGCAAGGTTTGTGTTGCATTGTTGTACTGATCAATATCCCTGATTTTTGTATCTGTGTTGTTGGTAATCTTTTCCGTCAATGATAATATAAGCAGTCTGTTAAGTTATTATAGTTTTCTAATCATGTGAATTAATTTACAAGAATTGACCTCAATATCATATTATATTTAATTAAGGAAAAACATGAAATAGTGTGCTCATTTTTTGGTGTTCTCAGTGCGCACACCATTTTATTCAATTATTCCTCTATAAATGCAAGAAGATCTTGCATATTTTGAACATATTGTTGAAGCCTTTCTTAACACATTTGGTCTTGCTTAATTCCCAGGCAGTTAAACCAGCAATCACATCTTGGGCACACTGGAATTCATTGTTCACATGTTCAATAATCAGAAAACCTTTTCAAAGAAACAATAACATTGTCAACAGACCAGCATTGTTCTGAGTCTGAGAAGTCCTTCAGTCTCTCTGGTTTCCCACAGTCAAGTTCATTGAAGAAATGGAAATTTGCTTCACTGATTGAGCTTTTTATGGCAGTTAGTTTGGGACTGTTGCTCACAAGTTTTGGAGTATTATGCAATCTGCATTTTGATCTTTTGAACTTGAATGAAAATGTTGAAATCCTTCCTCAAACTAGGCTTTTGATTAAAAGAGTCGTGGTAAGGACAGAGATATTTGGAGGTATATATTTACTGGTTAGTTCTATACTATGCTTGTCTATGTCAAGGCAACATCATTTTTCTTGATTTGATTATCCTTGTATCAGTTAGGCAGTTGTGTGGCCTAGGGTTCAGTTAAAAGCAGATTCTGGTGTCCCATGATGTACAGTGTATATTGTTAACAGTGGCTTACAATCCTGTTTGATACCTTATTCATTCTACAGAAGCATTGACAGCCAAAATATGATAAATTGCCTTCCTTCAGTGTGCCTGGATCTGCAAGTATTGGGTTTGAATCCTGTATTTTGTAGTGTATAGCAGTCTGATATGTTTTGCCAATATTCTTAACCCTTGCTGTCTGAAGTTAGTGGTCTCACAGCAGGGTATGGGTATTTTTCATCATATAATAAATAGAGATTATTACACGAGCAAGTGTGTCATATGAAACGAGTGTGAAATTTTGCACATAATCCATAATTTTGCACGAGTTTCGAATAAGTCATGACACACTTGCTTGAGTGTAATAATTTCTTTATTATCCATTTTATCATGTACACTTGTGCAGTAAAACATGGTAGGCAAGTGTGACGGGCCACTTAATTGACGACACGTTCAATTGTTTAATGACGTCACAGACGATGAAACACAGAAACAATGGTTGCAGGAAAAAGTGATATGTGACATATATATGACACTGGTTATGTTTCACCATATGGGTAATAATTTTGTTTGTTCACTCATTCAGTTGATGTGAGTGATTGGTGGCCCAGTTGTACAAGGGTTTGGTTTCTGGTAACCCCCCTTGTTTGTTTCTGGGTTTGTCTGCACCAGTCTTTTCCTGGGTTTCAGGGTTTCACCAAAATGATGAATGTGTGTAACCTGCATCACTGCAGGCTTTTCTCACACCCCAAGTTGACATGCCATGATGTAACTAAAATACCTTTCAATACACCTTACTCACTCACTCCTCCTTTCATTGAGGTGATTAATATAATATCATATAATAGAATATGATCACTGTGAATACAGTGTACATAATTGCAAATTCATATATGGATTCTGTTACAGGCTAGATGTCTATAGAATAGATTCAGATACAGGCTAGATGACTATAGAATAGGTTCAGTTACAGACTAGATGTCTATAGAATAGATTCAGATACAGTCTAGATGACTATAGAATAGGTTCAGTTACAGACTAGATGACTATAGAATAGGTTCAGTTACAGACTAGATGACTATAGAATAGGTTCAGTTACAGACTAGATGACTATAGAATAGATTCAGTTACAGACTAGATGACTATAGAATAGATTCAGTTACAGACTAGATGACTATAGAATAGATTCAGTTACAGACTAGATGACTATAGAATAGATTCAGTTACAGACTAGATGACTATAGAATAGATTCAGATACAGACTAGATGGCTATAGAATAGATTCAGTTACAGACTAGAAAACTATAGAATAGAATCTGTTACAGAATAGATAGCTATAGAATAAATTTAGTTACAGATGAGAGAACTATAGAATAGATTCAGTTATAAACCAGATTACTATAGAATAGATTCAGTGTATCACTTCTGGAGAAGAACATGTGTCAATGAACTTGCAGCACCATGGTTCTGTTTAGGTTTCCATTTGTCCTGGAGATTGAGACAAAGGCAGGATGTTAAAAAACAGTTTTGTGCTTTTTGGCAAAGGCTTTTCACACACAAAAAGATTCAACAGACGTGCTTGACAGCATCAAGGGAGGAAAAAAACTGTCTGCATGACCTAACCCAGGAACTACATACCTCCACATCCTCAGGGTTAAGATACATCTGTCTTACCGCCATTTTAGCTCCACATGACGAAAGATTTATGAGATTTTGTTCCGTGTCTGCAGTTTCACTTGGTTGGGGACACTGAACTTCTTCAGCCCTGACCTTGTAGTGGGAGAAGCCTGGGTGGGAGAATCTACATAGGAACTATATTAATTCTTTGGTTTCAATAAACTTATTACCAGCACCATATCACGCTTAATCTGCCTTTAAATGAGTGACCTTCACCAACCCAAACATAGTTATTTAGTATGTGATAATGAACCGTGCTTTACACCTAGTTAGTTATGTCATGGAATGGTATGTCCAGTGTGTTGTCTTTTGTTGGTAGATCATAAATTTTCATGCTGTATACTGGGTGTACATATTATGAGTGTAGGTGTGAACACACAACCTCTCTCAATCTCCTAGTCTCTCACAGTCCCTGAACCACATTATTTTCCTACAGCTTAGCCCTCCTTACAATGCTAAAGCCCTAAATGAAGTCTAGATATCCCCAGGTTCTGTATCTCTGGTCTCCCTGGGGCTCCTTTTCAATTTAAATGGGTTTATTTGTTACAATCAAATTATATATTCAGAGACTAAGCGTTATTCTATCAATCTGCATACCTCCCCCATCTACCTCTCCCTCCCCCCTGTCCAGGCATCTAGCATAACACTTATCCTACCCTGATATGTACCAAAAGTGTGGGGCATCCTCTAGCATGACCTACCAGCCCAGCTTTGCATTTTAGACTGTAGAATTTAGCATTAACTAAGAGCAATTTGCAATTACCAAGGCAACAAGTTCAGATCCAGGCTCTATTTGAACAATGAACCTCCCAACCATGGATTGTGACAGTTCTCTTTTCCCAGGGACAATCCCAGATTGTTTGATTTCCACACTCCTATTTCTTCCACGAGTTGCTCAGCCATGTTTACTGGTGTTGCAAGCAAAGTGAAAGCAAGGCTGAATCTTCTCAACTCAGTTATGTTTATTGGATTTTCAGTGCAGAATAGCTTTCAAGTGCTCCATGCTTGTGATAAGAGCTAATTAAACCAGGCATCCGATGGTCAGAGTGTCTGCTGAATAGGAACAATGTTTGATGAAAGTCCACCGGGACAGACACTGAGGTCTGGCAGTTTCGGGCTGCTGCTCATATTATTGACCACTAATTTGTCTGGTCTGGTCTCATTACGGGTCAGCCTGAGTCAGACTTTTTCAGTATTGCTTTGGTTGTGTTACCCTTTCGGTCTGTTGATTACTGACCACTAGTTGACTGACTCTTGTCTGACATTTTGACTTCACTGGAGCAGTTGGTCAGCTTGAATCAGGCTGGACTTTCAATATTGCTGACTGACTCACTGGGTGATCTAAACAAAAGACTAACAAGATAGACATTTTGGACTGTCTGTGACTGGAGCAGTTGGTAGTGTTACTGACCACTAGTTTGTCTGGTCTGGACTTCATTACGGGTCAGCTTGAGTCAGACTTCTGTAATGCTGACTGAGTCACTGGGTGATCTCAAGCTATCCTTGTTTGCATCGATTGTCGCTGCCTTCCCATACAATACATATACAATGGTAGATATTGATTATCTTCGTCTATGCATGTTCAGTGTAGAAACGGAAGTAAAAAGCCTACTATATTTATATAGAGAGCGTCCGTACAACAAAAAGAGTTTTGAAAAACAAATCCTGTCTGGATGCAAAATCGTAATTGAATGACCATGTCAAGTTACTATGTTGATGCTTTGAAATCTCTTCTTTCCTTTTTGCTTGGTTTGTTTAATCAGTCCAATGTTAATATATGTTCTGTATTTCAACCTTGCCAAAATAGTTGGGCGTATTGCCAATTCCTCTCTGTTAAAGGGTCTCCCAGCTTCTGATATTTCTGAAAGCAATATCTAATCAATAATGTGTCATCATCTGGGGTTTTAACATCTGCCATGTTTATAAGTTATTGTGTATATTTATAAGTTTAAATAATGGATCAGAATAACATTTGTAGCCATGTGGTTGATTTAGTGTCAATAGTTAAAGTCTGTGGTATCTGAACAAATCAGACTTGGGGTCCTATACACTGTGTTTGAAAGTAAGGTTGTTGTTGGGTAGCTTAGTTGTAAATGCGTTTGCGGAAGGCAGAAGACCTGGGTCTGATTCCCACAATGTACAATGTGTGAAGCCCATTTCTGGTGTCCCCTGCCGTGATATTGCTTGAATATTGCTAAAAGCGGCGTACAACTAAACTCACTCACTGGTTCATTTCGTGTACTCCAGAGATCCTTGAAGCCAAGGTGTATGGTTTATTCTGACATACCTACAACCCATTGACACGAATGTGCCTGAACAAAAATCATTGTCCTGTTTCATGGTACACACATGCGTCACTTTTGAGTTTTTTGTGCCTTGCCGCATGCGGAACGGGGTACTATATATTTAGCAGCGTACGTATGTCCCGATTCTTGTTAACACGACATCTCATTAACTGTTGCACCCAATGTCTTCAAATTTGGCGACAGCCTACATTTGGGGATTACAAGAACACCAGTTAATTTGGGTGACCTTGACCTTATTTTCAAGGTCATCATGACTGACCACTTTTCAAACTCTTCAAATTTGGTAGCAGCCTACATTGGGGGATTATGCAGACAACAGTTGATGTGGGTGACCTTGACCTTATTTTCAAGGTCACCACGACACTTTGACCACTTATCAAAATTACGTAAAACATATCTCATAAAACATTGCACCCAATGTCTTCAATTATGTCAACAGCCTACATTGGGTGATTTTGCCGACACCAGTCATTTCTTGTATGTGACCCCAAAATATAAAGTAGAAAATATGTTATAAAATATTTCATTCTTCTTTAGCGGCAGGGGACATTGCCATATTAGTGGCAAAACCTATTTAATGTATTAATGTCAAGTTAGTCTGTGTTATTGAATAATTCTTTTGAATATGATCACCTCAAAAATGCTTTGCATCATCTGAATTCTTTTCAGTTCGGGATGGTGACACAGTAAAGCATTACAGAATTCGACAGCTGGATGAAGGTGGTTTCTTCATCGCTCGCCGGGTAACATTCAGATCTCTGTCGGAACTGGTCGACCATTACAGTTCGGATGCTGATGGCCTCTGTGTTAACCTTAGGAAACCATGCTCACAGGTTAGTCATTGTGTGATTGTCAGATATAAGCACAAGTTAGAAATTACTTCAACTTTCACTTTTCTGCAAAAATCATCCATTGTTGCCATCTGCCGATGGTGAAATGGCAGATGTCAATGGTGGATGATTTTTGCAGAATAGTGAAATACTGAATTTGATGATGAAAGTGGATGACCAGATGGCCATTTTAACTGGCCTCAGATTAGCGGACTTTGGCTAACTTTAACCCAGTACAGGAACACTAGTGTGCTTCTTTGCTTTCCAGATATGGGTGGATGAGCTTACTGCATATATTCTTTCATGATATGACTCTTCCGTTCCAACTTAAGTAAAAAACATTCTACTGTTTCTGTTATGAAGATTAACATTGTCTGGTCTGGCACCTGGATATACAGTTTAAAGAGATGAGAGTTATTCTCTTTATGCCTCAACAAACATGTGATGGTGTGCTTGCTTTTGTAGAACATATGGCATGTCCTAATGTTATTGAGATTGATTTTAAGAGTAGACATATCATCATTTATGAGGAAATTGCATTTTGATCAATCATATATATTTCCCACTTTTGTTGGAAGTTCTGCTAATGCATGCTTTGTGATTCACATAAGGAAGACTTTCCAGGAGATAAATTTACTGACATTTTGTCTGTGCTTGTTTATTCACTGATTGATTCCTATTTTGGTGTAGAAACGCTTCCAACTGCATCAATATTTTCCAATTTATGCCAGGTTGTGGTATAATGATATTGTTTCGTTTTGTGATATTTATGACATGCTTAAAATAGAATAATGCTTCAGTGGTATGCGGATTGTGATGAGGGTCTTGTAGTAACTGAATGGTTAAAGATATATTGAAACTACATACTATTTTTAAAAAATATTAAAAAAAACCAATTCGTTGACATACAGCAATGATCAGGATCTCTTCCTAGAATAAATGGATGAAGATATACAGCTGTGAATGGGTACCTCGAATGATATGGGAAAGTCACATTAACTTGGTGCACCTAGTGGCTGAACAAGTTGTATGCTTCCCAGGGAGTTGATATTGAAATATATGATGTTGAGATTGACATCCAATAATCGAGGGAAAAAAAGTGCCTTGAGCATGCATGTACATGGGATGGACTATAGCTCTATATAAATACCCATACATATGTATATATAAATAAATACTATTAAGAAACACCACCCTTCATTGACTTACTGCCAATGAAAAGAGTCTTTGTCTTAAATGGATAAAGATATACTGATACCACAGAACAAATTCAGTGTTTTTGTTTTAGGGATGATGTAGGTAGGGACTGCTTTGTTTCTTCTTTTGCTGTTAAAGGCCGCTCATTATACAAATTAAAAAGCATTGAGGTGTAGTAAACAGCAGATATATCCTGTCTGGTTGCCAAGGAGCTCAGATGTGTTGACTCTGTCTATTGTCTGGCTGGAAACAGTTTCCTTAACCCTACGGTTATTACTAATGATCCTTATGCAGTGTTAGCTATTCTTGTCTTGCAGTAATAAATTTCAAAGGGTATTTCTGTCGCAACTTCACCTGAAGTAACACTAGTCTTTGATTCTGTATATTGTTATTTTCTCAAATCTGTTTCTGCAAAAAGTAGGCTGCATATTGTAATCCGCTGCATATTATTCTAAAACAAAATGAGATTATTTCCAAAACAGTGTGTTTAATGCCTTGTCACCATTATGAATTATTACTTGGGTTAGTAGGTGAGCATGTATTTGTGTAAATGATAGCAAGAAATGATCATGATAATGTTTAGCTTATTTTACACTACAAGATTCAAGTTTGACTCTTCCTTCAGGCTTTGTGGCTTCAGTTCAAGATTGAACATTCAGTAGTCTGTCTCACAGCCCCTGAACCACATTATTTACCCTACTGCCTAGCCCTCTCTGCAATGCTAAAGCCCGAAATGAAGCAAATCTATATTCCCTCAGGTCCTGAATTTTCCATCCCCTTGGGGCTCCTTTTCAATTTAAATGGGTTTATTTGTTGCTATCAAAATTATATATTCAGAGACTAAGCATTAGTTTAAACATTCAGCTGCTTTTAGAAATACAAGTAAACTGGAAGTTGGCTTCAGGCTAGTGCCTGTAGTTGTGTAAGGTGGGGTCTGTATATACTGTCCACAGAACTGGACGTCCCTGAAATGGACTTCAAACACCATATAGCGATGATGCATGTATTGAACATGCCCTAATTTGTTGATAGTGTATTCCACCAGGAAGTGCTCTAATGTTCATTGTTTGATATGCTTCCAACTACAGTGGATAATGGGGGCTGTCAGTAATTAGTGACTCAGCGTCTAATAATTCAACTAGATTGTTGCATAAGCTGCAGTCACCATTAAACTGACATTCAATAGAATCTTAGTTCTTCAAAATGAAAGTAGACAGAACATGGACATAGTAATATATAACTGAAACAGTTTTTGAGTGAGTTTTGTTTTATGCTGCACTCAGCAATATTCCAGCTATATGAAACAAACAAAAAATAAATACATAAAACTATTTTTTTTACAACTGAAACAAAAAATATTGTGTATATTACAAGAACAAGCTTGTATTCTGTTGCACATTGCTTTATGCCCGATGTTTGTTGGACATTCAGGATTTATTTGATGAAATATGGTATTTGATCATTTTCTGGCAGATCACAACCACCCAATGTTTCAGCAATGTACAATATGTGCAGTAGACAGTAGTCTTGTAATGATTCACGCTCAATTACATGAAATATTTTTTATTTTAAGGCATTCCTGAATAAATATTCGTATTTGTTGGTACACATTCGTAAAACCTTATAGTGTATCTGTGTGGTGGAGTAGCATAGTGGTTAAAGCGTTCGCTCATCACATCGAAAACCCGGGTTCGATTCCCCACATGGGTGCAATGTGTGAAGCCCATTTCTGGTGTTCCTCACCGTGATATTGCTGGAATATTGCTAAAAGTGGCGTAAAACTAAACTCATTTACCCAAGTTGCAGCCCTAGTAGACAGATGGTCAGATATGTTCACCATATGTACAACCCTAGCCCAATGTTACATACAATGTAGACATGGAGAAGAGTTGTCTGGTGTTTGTGTGAGAGCTTGTAAGATGTAATTAGATTGGATCCTTGATAGCAAGACAATGTGATTAATCCTTGTTATAGTAGACAGTTGGCTGTAGATACCACATAACATTCATGGGTCTATCCTGACCCCAGAGATATAGGTTAACTGCATAAGTGAACTTTAGTATAAAGAAATACTAGGGAGGTGCTCAAACACTGTCATAATCCAAGTAACCATGGCAGGCAAATTTTAAAATTAACAATTATTTTGTTTGTAGGGATTACTTAAAAGATGTTTTCAGAAATTTTTAGGTATTTTCACATCGAGCTTTACGAATTCTCTGCTATTCCTGTGTTAGCTTAGATACAGTTTCTCTACGAAATATTAACATGAACAGGGTTTTTACGTGACACCCACATGTGAGTCCAGTACACACAAATTCCAGGCAGGGATTGGGAAAGGCAGGGCCATGGGCCATTTTGCACATTAGAATAAAAAATGACCCATTAAAATTTTGAAGTTTACTATTGATACAAGGGTAGTGGCCCATTCTAAATTCAGAAAATGGCTAATAAAGCTGAAAATGGCCCATTGTCAAAGTTCTCTATCCCAATCCCAGTCCAGGCTTTAAACAAATTATCAAAACGTACAGTTCTCTAAACTGTTCTTCATAGGACCCTCACATTGCTGGCAAGGACCTCTAAAACTAATAATTGCATGTTTGCGTGTCGAGGTAAAACCTTGCATGAATATTTTTAAATCTAATTTGGGAGTTCACTCTGACATTTGCTCAAGACATCATACCAATATTGGCCTCTGTGCAGGCTTAGATAAACTCTAAGCACTAACCAAAATTTGTAAAAAGTGAAGTTTGAATTTTGGAAGAGAATACAGCAGTGCTGACCTTATATACTGCCCATTAGCTCAAATAGTATACTTATTTCTCCAATGAGCAGAAAGTTTGTGTGTTCGATCCCCAGCTGCATCATACCAAAATGTGGTACTTGTTGGTCCCTGACTGACGTTCGGCATTAATGGGTACAACAAGGACTGGTCAGCTCAGAGTCAGTATAATGTGTCTGAGTGGGATATTCATGCTTAACTGTGGCATGGTATCTCAGTGAGCTAGCACTATAAAACCAGCTTAAGTCTGGGCTAGTACAAACAGCCACACATACACACGCATGCACGTCATCATATGAGTGAAAAATTCCTAAGTATGGCGTTAAACCCCATTTCACCTCATGTGAAGATGCACATGCTTGACAAGGAAGGTATTTAAATTCTCTGATTAGTCTTAAGAACTTCAGGTTCTAAATCCTGTTTAAAAACTCCTTTGATCTGTTATGGTTGTGGCAAACACATGCATTAAGAGTAAGGGCATTATGTAACCAAACAAATTCAAGCTAACAGGTGCTTTGAAGAATTAGGTTTATCAAGTTCAGAGCACATCTTCTGTTACTGAACTTAATATAGTCACTGACTGCATTATGGCTAAAGAGGAATCCATGAGACAGGAGTCTCACAGTATCTTCCTAAGTAGACACGAGCAAACTTCATTATCTGTGTTGTCCTAGTGTGTACAGTACACTAGTGGTGGTCCGATTAATTGAAATAATCGAAGATGGTCGTAGTGACAAAACGACCAAGCAAACAATCATAATAATTTCTCATAATCGAACACAAACAATTCTGGAACACTTGTTTTCATGAACAATATTTTTCACATGGTTGATTTTGTCTGTTACATTTCGTAAGCACTACAAGCTCATTTCAAGTCATGATTGAATTTATCTTAAACATTCCAAGAAATTTATGTTCCTAACATACTAGTCATCCTTTAAAGAAGTGAAATTTTGCCAAAAAACCCCAGAAGAACTACATTTTTCTCCCCTTATTTTAATGTGCATTAACAAATTTCATAAATGAC